CCGCTCCAACCCTCCTGCCGAAGCAGGGTCACCCACAGCAGGCTGCACAGGACCTTGTCCAGGCGGGTCTTGAATATCTCCAGAGAAGGAGACTCCACAGCCTCCCTGGGCAGCCTGGGCCAGGGCTCCGTCACCCTCAGAGGGAAGAAGTTCTTCCTCATGTTCAGACGGAACTTCCTGTGCCTCAGTTTGTGCCCATTGCCCCTTGTCCTGTCACTGGGCACCACTGAAAAGAACTTGGCCCCATCCTCCTGACACCCACCCTGCAGATATTTGTAAGCATTTATTAGGTCCCCTCGCAGCCTTCTCTTCTTCAGGCTGAACAAGCCCAGCTCCCTCAGCCTCTCCTCGTAGGGGAGATGCTCCAGTCCCCTCATGATCCTTGTGGCCCTCCGCTGGGCTCTCTCCAGCAGCTCCTCATCTTTCTTGAACTGGGGAGCCCAGAACTGGACACAGTACTCCAGATGGGGCCTCACCAGGGTTATTCTACAAATCGACAGCACCAGATTTGTCTGCTGGAAGGCATGTGCTCTGTTTTCGTGGTTTGAAGTTGTTGGCTGCAAACATGTGGCAGAGGGTTGCGCACGTGCAAATCGATGCAGCGCTTCCGTTGCGCAGTCAGGCACTCGAAACGAGTGTTTTGATAACCGTGAACTCTCTCCTTTCTTTACAGTTTTGATAGCCAAAAACTACTAGTGTGCTAAAAAATAGAAATACAGAGAAGGAGAGTAGGTATACTCTTGCAAGAAATACTCTTTGAATTGGAGTATTTCTTCCTGTGTACATTTTATTAAAACTACCTTGATCTCTTTTTTAAAAAAGCATCCGAAGCTCTCACGTGTTTCTGACAATATTTATTTCGATGTGCTGGAGATTTATGGGTGTTTTGTAAGACTGGTTCATCTCATTGCAAAATCCACGGGACTTGTGCATAATCATTTGAGGAGCTGTAGTGATAAAAAATAATAGGAATTCCAACAACACAGAAGTTACTTCGGCGCACAGATTGGCTAAAAGCAGTTAACGGGTTGCTAAGCAATAGTGCTGGCTTGTTAGCTGGCAGGTTAGGAGAACAGAGTGTAAAATTTGGTCATTAGGTTAAGATGGAAGAAGTTGTCTAACTGATCTCTTGCCAACTCAAAGATCTTCTCCGTGGCACGTGTCCAGTAAGGAAGAAATAATCAGATGGTGCACGTCTGACGCAGCACTTTAAATAATGATAGCAAGCCAGAAATGATGAGTAATGGTTTGTGTAGTGACTGAGTGAGAGAGGTGCAGTTCAGCGGAACTGAGCAGGAGATAATGAGTAGATCTGTAGCAAATAGGTCTTCCTGAAGCACGACAGAAGCTTGTGTTCGATACCTGCTTCTGCGGGAGGGTGGATGACTCCTGGATTTCATCAAACAGAGTGAGAGATTAGCTAGTCAGGGGAAATAACTTTTTTCATTATAGAATTTTGTTGTTCTACTAAATAGTTTGTCAGACTGAATGCAAATATGTTGTTGATGTACCTTATGAACTTCTCACATGGATGGAAATACTCTGTGCACGTTTCCAGGGCTTTATTGCTGTCTCACAGAAGGATGAGGGGGTGAAGGTGCCGTGGACAGGCTGTAGGGACTCAATGGGGGCTGCAGAACACAAGAGCTGTACCAGGGGCTGGGGAGCGTAGAGGAAGGGATGGGAGCAGAGCAGGACGCAGTTGTGCAGACCATTGGTGACCACCCAGGCTGTCAGAGTATCGCAAACCTTGAAGCAGAGTTGCCTCCAGACATCGTTTCCTCTGCAGCTCTGCTGTAAACATTGCTCACTTGCATTTCCATGGATCTTCCCAGTGTCGACCTTAAGGAAACACAGGGTTTGTGGAACTCCTAACAAAATTTGTCTTACCATCTTCTTGGTAGCACCTGCTAGTCTACACGTAATAGCTTAGGTGAAGTTAGTAGATGCTGTGATATCATATAAGATACAAAGATGAAGTGTCCAGGGCGGTTAAACTCAGCTACTGAAAGGTTGTAGGACTAAATTTCTAATGTTTATTTATGAACAGGGAAGTGATGCCATGAATGAACAGAGAAGTTGCTTCACAGCATCAATGTTTAGTTACAAAGGTTTCCCAGTTGCGTGTTTTAATGACATGAGCTTAGCAGAAATAGATTCTGATGGAGGTACTTAGAGGGAAATATTGTGAATATTTGTGAAGCAGAGAAATCCTGTATGGAATAACATGTAAGAAAATGAAGGATGAGAAACAGGAGCAATGGAAAAAGCGATGAGAAGTTGAGGTCGTGGAGGACAAACAGTGCTTTTCAGTCTGACGTAGGAGGAAGCCGCTGAAAGATTGAAGTCCCAGGATGGAAAACATTCTTCTTCCTGACATAGTTGAAAGTTCAATTGAAGGGGTGAAGAGTAAAATTACAGTTTTCAGTGACAAATCAATGCAGCCGCCTTATAGTGAAATTGTGTTAGTGAGAGGCCATTGTAGAGAACAACAAAAGGACATTTTCTGCAAGGTATTGATAGGAACCTTGCAATAAAAATATCTGCGTAAACACGTCCTCCGTGTGTTTCACAAGTCACCCCACTAAAATAAAAATAACCTTTTTTCACTTCCTAAATGAAAACACTTCCCTAATTTATCAGAAATAATGAAGTTTCTTATCTCGTGGAGCTCACAGTGGGTTTTGCCTGTGGTAGAATGACTGAATTACCCTGAAATACACCGTGGGTGGATTTCTGCACAAAAACCGATGTATCACTCAGGCCTCAATAAACTTTATTGTCCCTCAGGCTATTCGCCTTTACAGCACGTACCTGCTAGGATTTATCTGCTAAGAAAAGGGAACTTTCTACCCAGCAAACAGTAATAATAAATGTTTTGTATTTTGTCTTGCGTGATTTTTACTCGACAACTAATGACTGCTCATTTATTATAGTTACCTGGAGTTTGAAAGTTTTTGAGAGATCTAGGTCATTATAGGCTTTCGTTTGTGCATTTTATTAACAAGAAGCTTTTATTTTACTGGGGGAAAGTGAATAAACCTTAGCTTGATTATATGTTCTTACTGCACTTACTAAAACTTGTATTGTGTGTTAATGTACAAGGTGTAAATGTCGAGCTTACAGCTGAGAAAACTGTATTTGCTAAACTACAAATATTTTGGTGTGGAGTCTGAAGTAAAACTCTTTTTCTATTAAAAAAAAAGAGGGGATCGTTGAAGTATTTGGAGTGTATCGTAAAAATGAGCCCAATGTGACTCCTCAGTGCACGCTTCCCGTCAGTGCGGGGGTTGGCTCATTTGTTCTACTTTCCTTTAAAATCCCTCATTAGATGAGCTGCACATAATTATAGAGGCAGTGAAGAGCAGACAAAGATACCGCATATGCAGCATTATCGCAGTCTCAATGCCGTAAGAATGGGCGCAGTCTGGATCTTTGGATTCGTTTCAGTTCTTGTAAGAGTTAACCCGGCGTTGCTTTTTGCAGATCTGGAGCTGAATGGCATGTCCAGCTCCGACGTCCCCGACGTTCCTCCTCCTCTGCCTCTCAAAGGAAGCATGGCCGATTACGGGAACCTCATGGAAAGTCAAGACTTGATCAGCCCGACCACGTCCCCCCCTGCCCACCAAAGGGTGAGTCCCAGAGAGGGTGATCGTTGTCGGCAATCTTCTTTGCTTTTCACTTTGCACGCTCCACAGCGAGATGTGGTCCTGCTCGTGGACATGTCAGCAGATCCAGAGATCTCTGCAGTTGCAAAGAAGCCTCTGGAGTGTGAGGGAACGGCCTCGCTCATGGGGACCAACCTGAAGGGAGGTTGGATGCATGTTGGTGGAGAAGACCAAGCAAAATGTTATTAGCTGTGTTGGTGAGGGAGCTTAAACTGGCAGGATGTAGTCTCAGCAGCAAATTAGATTGAACAGCCGTTCAATCCTGTGTCAGGAAAGGAAATAAAACATGTACCTGACATCTTTTCTTTCTGGAGCTCCCTTCTGTCAACATTCCATCACCGCTTGTTTCCTAGAGGCAGACACCCGTGCCCACTTTGAGGGAAGCAGCTCAGAAACGCTCTTCATCATCAACAGAGTCTTCAGCTTTCTGAAGAAAACGCATTTTTTCAACTTAGTTTCCCATATCCTGGAAGGTTTTAAAAATAATTTGGTCCTTTTCTTTAAAGCAGCGCCTTTGAGAAGGGCCATTTATTTTCTTTTTTGAAGAAAAAAATATGTTTAAATTAGAGTTTTTCTTTCCTTTGACTTTGAAATGTGTAACTTTGGCAAAGCTGTTATTTTGTGGAGAAATTCTCAGTGGTAACGATTCTCTTCTGTTTGCAGAGGTATCTTCCAGGATTTCTCTGAAGTTCATCATTCAAATGAAATTCTGTTGGGTGATTTGCTTTCCAGTAAATTTCATGGTTAGAGAAAGCATTTCTAAGCTCAGCAGAGAGAGAGTCGCGTGGGAATTCTGTTCCAACTCCGGGAGCAGTTTTGTTTAACACAGACCGTTACAGTGCACACCAGTACACAAGTCTGGCTTTTTCATGGTTGAAATTAGAACTGTGGTGTTGCAGGAATTTAGAATTTTCAGGCCAAATGGGGCGGGGGGGGAATAGATAAAGAAGTAAATTCTGGAATATGGTTTACTCGTTATAGACATATATTGAAAAATTCTCTATTCCTGTTGTGTCTTCCATAGTTCTTCCCCATGGCTGGATGGTTTTAGTAAATGTTTTCACTAAATTCTTTTGCGAACCCTTTTTGTCCAATTTCCTTCGAAGTGTACTAAACTCTTCCCCATTTCCCTGGCTTCTCTCTCGGGGGCCAGCTCTTGCTTGACCAGATTACCTCTAAGTGGAAAATTACAGACTGTACAGGAGGGCTGCCAGGAGTTTTATCTAAGGAATCCATCTCCGTGAAGAAATCTGAGAAATTCAGATTAGGTTTCAAATTTCTTGAACTCCTTTCTGTATGAGCTCCAGAGTAGTAATTTCATGTTGTATGATATACCATAAGTTTTAGGTCGCAGAAGTAGCTCAAGATTGCTAATGTGAGTTCAGTTTTTAGCTAAAAAGCATTAAACAATGAGATGATAAAACATATGGGGAGAAGTAAAATCCCAGTAGGTGGGTTCCTTCTCCCTTCCTTGCTAGGTTTTGTGGAGGAGTTTCCACTCCGTGGCCAAACACTGGATATTCACTGTCCTACTTGCCGATGCCACCGTGCTGCGATGGGTAGAGCCCAGACCTGGGGACGACTCAGGTTCCAGCCTCGGTCACGTTGCTGTTGGAGATGGGACCTCGCGCAGCTCCTGTGCCTCTCATGAGCAGGGTTTCCGCATCGTTAAATACAAGTTCATAAAAATAGTGGCAATATGCTCCCTTGGTTTTTTGCAAAGTTTTATTCAGGTCTTAATATTGTTTCTCTTTACTGTCTGCACTGCTCAGACTTGTCTTTAAATGGATTTTGTAATTGTAGAAATGGCCCCATTGTTCAACATCGAGTGTTGAAGGAGCTTGGGATTTAAGCACATCTCAGAAATGCAAACAAATGTAATCAAAATTTTCTTCAGCATTGTATTTTTATAAACTTTTCAAGACAAGGGAATATAGTTTCAAGGTCTGAGAAATTGATCTAAAGGAGGTTTGTCACAAAGCCACGTGTATTAGTCTTAGCATTAATTTTAGGAAAGGCTGCTAGTCTTACAACAGTCACTCTCCACATTTATTTCATCAAGCTGGTGGGAAGAAAGCTGTTAAAGAATGTAAAGAAAATGAGTAGTGCTGGGCATGAAGGATCAGATGGGTAAATTCTTATAACTGCTGTGATTAAATCCCACGCCACAGTTTTTAGTGCTGTGTGTTTCATGGGTCAGATAGCTGCATACTTCGTAACTGTCATTCTCTGCCTAGTAAACTGATCATCTTTGAAATTACACATGCTTTGTATCAGTGAAGAAAAATCAGTAAAAAATATGATAGAGAAGGTTATCTTAGTAGCTTTTAAACTGGAAATATCTCCTTGCAGGAGAAATTATTACGTGGTTGTCTGCAGTCTGTTATGAAAACCAAAACAAGTTCTGTAGTGAACTGAAAAGCACACAGTGAGAGCATCAAGAAACACTTCCAACTGCAGGCAGTAGTGTCATTTAGTGTCTGAGAGAGTAATCATAGATTATTTGGAGGCCACTGTTAACTTGGTCTGCGTTAAGTCTTTATCCAGGTGACCATCCAATTCTAATTTTCTGATTGTCCTCTTATTCCTTGTTAACTGTGATACCCTTATGTATATTTTCTTGCGCTGTGTGATTTGTTCTGCTGAAGCTGTTCTCAATAATATATGGGAACATAAAAAAAGAAGTCTAGGACTCCTGCAAGGATTATTATTACATCAAGGGGTTCCTTTAGGCACGGCTCAGTCTTTATGGGTTCATCCGTACCCTTGCGTAGAAGTCGGCTGCCTGCTTAGTATTCACAGCGAGAAGGGAAACTCAAAGAAAACAGGCAGAGGATCACTTCCATTTATAATATCGGCTATAACACTTACTAAGCATCAGCTAATGGTTTGGATGAGCAGACCTCGATCATTGCAGCGTAGATGGAGAGCTCGGCAAGGAGGGACGGCAAAGGCTGAAGGTAACGCGCGACGCGAGGGCCGGAACGGTCGCGCGTGGCTGACGGCGGCGGCGCTGCCTTTGACTCGCTGGGATCCTGTGGCACGAGGAGCGTTCAGGAGGGTTGGCTGGGATGTAATGGAAGGAAAAACCCAGGGCATTTTTCCTGTGTTCCGATGCAAATACTGCAGTGCTGATTGTTTCTCTTAGGTTAGCCACAGTGAGCAAAAAATGACCCGAGGGCGGTCGTTAGCAGCACTGTCCCGTGGAGATGCTGGAAGAAGTGCAATTAGAAAAAGGGCATTATTAATCCGTTAACGTTAAATTAGAAGGTTGACTTTGTGGGCTGCATCTGCTCACAAATGGAAATAAATGTCTCCTCGTCTGTCTGATACTCCAGATGTCCAAAAAACAGACTCTCTGACCAAAGGCTTTCCATGGGGCGTAGCAGTACATAATGTGCCCAAAAGAAAAAAAAAGCACGGGGGTTTTGTTTGCCATCTGATCATTATTTTTGCCTGCATCAAAAGCCCTAAGCCTCCGCCCCCTCCCGCCTCGGCTGGGCTGGGGTTTGGTGGGTGAAGCTCTTGCCGAGCAAGGAGTTTCTAAAAACCTCACTGTCTCTTTTTAATAAGTCTCAAAATCAATGGACTGCTGCTGCCTATTACAGGATTTTGAGTGAAAAATGTGTTCTTCTGCTGTCTGCCTGAATTTATAGAGCCCGTGATGCGTCCCCGCGCAGCACCCCTGATTCTGTTTGGGAAGGAGCCGTGTCGCTGCCCTCGGCGCCGCGCGGGATCAAGCTGCGGGTATCGCTCTGGCCGGTTGATAATGCATTTGTTTATCGCTCTCGCAGGGCCCAGGCCCTCGATGAGAAATACAGTTTCAGTCTGGAGTCTAAACCTTATTCTGAGGGTATTGCTCATAACTCCTGAGCTGTTTCTGTATGGACTGGAGCAGAACAGTGCTGTTGAAAATCGAGTTAGGCAGCGCGCTCTGAAATACCGACAGCCTGCACATGTGGACATGTGGTTCAG